TAATTAAATTTATTAATATTTCATCATAATAAAAATTAGTTAAAAGAAAACACTACCAACAAGACTTGTTAAAGAAAATAATTGAGTAATTCGGATATATTTCATCGGGACTTAATTGTTAAATCTATAAAATATAAAGGATATAGTGGAAAATTTGGGCGATCTATTATATGATAATTATTTAATAAAATTAAATGACGAGCCAACTAAAAAAATCAACATGCTTATTTAGAAAGCTACCAAATAAAGCTTATATGAGATGAGTAATAACTTTTTAAAAAAACTCATTATACTAAATCACTCATATTTCAACACAGAATATGCTTGGGACCAGTCAAGTTCTTATCATATTTTTCAGGAACCGGAATCAGAACTGAACCAAAAAAAAATGGTTTGATTAACACATAAATAATTACAGGAACCGAAAAAGAACCGAACTGGTTTAGAACGGTTTGTTTTTTCCGGTTCTTCGGATAACCGCATAATAAAAAATAACTGACAATAACCGATTTGAGTTAGGAACCGGTCAAAAAATGCAACTCACGAACTAAAAATATCACGAAAAATTGAGAACTAAAATGCATATTTCACATATATAGTCAGTTTCTCAGTTATTACACATACACTTGGAAAAGAACCAGGAACCGAAACATGCAAAAAATAACTGAAAACCAAAAAAAAAATATTTTTTTTTTTGGGTTCGGTCCAGTTCAGTTCTCGAGTATAAAATTTCACCCCTAATACATAAAGTTTATAAGCTAAAACAAGTTATAAGGTAACTTATGATACTTACCACACATATTCTCAATCATGGATTAAACTTAAACCATTCTAGGCAAGTTTATTGGGTCAATCTAGGTTCAAAAAATCCTGTAATATCTTACTATGCATATTTGTAGGTCGCGTTTGGATATGGGACAAAATCGGCTTTAACCGATTGAGTTATTTTTTTTATATCTTTTCACTCAAGATTCAACCCAATTAACTTTTTTCAATATTATTAATATAATTTAATAATATTAATCAATTATTTGTATATATCACATCAAATTTAATTCATTATTCATCATCTCACGTAATTTTAACTTTTAATCACTTTAAATAACATATCTCTTATTTTTTACATCACATCAACTTTAATTATTATTTTTAAATTTTATTTAATAACAAATTCAGAATGTCATTTAACCGTATACCCAATCAACTTTACTAAAAATACTCATTTCAACAAATTAAATCCAAGAAAATCTGATTGAATTCGTATCCAATCGAATGATCCATTTCAAATTGAGTTTGATAGTGTATTCAACCTCAAAATTTTAGTTCTCCATTCATTTAAACTTATCACTTCACATTCAATCGAAAATGTTGTTACTTTTATAATGCTTAATCACTAAGGAACCAATTGTATATAATTTTTTTTTTTCGTCTAGACCAAATTTTATTTTCCAACAATATAGCATTAGATACAAGTTTTTTTAATATAAATATTCATTATCATTTTTTTCCTCACCAATCTTATCACCACATTAATAATAAATTATTACCATATACTTTTCAATAAATCCAACACCAAGAGTTTGTTTGAAAACACTTCTCAAATGTACTTTTGGTTGCAAAGTCCACTTGGAGAAATATTCGTGTTTGGTGTTACTTATTATAATAAGTTGTTGCTCCAAAAAGTCAATTATTATTATTATTTTTTTATCGAAACGATAAATTTCATAGTACGATACACAAGTCACAAATTCAAAGACAACGAACTGGCTGAAAAAGTCACCTAAATAGCTGAAAGTGGGAGAGCTACACATGTTGTAGTCTAAGCCAACACACACGCAAAACATGGGAAAAAAACAACGAAAGACTCCCACAGAGTGGAGAAAGAAACTCCCATAAG